ATGAGGGGAGCATACACTCGACAGATCTCACTCGCTTCTCTGATGCAGTCCTCAAGGAGTGGGACTTCATGTTTGAAGAGGATGTCATCAAGAACAACGATAACATCAGCTTGAAGAAAAGCCTCTTCTATTTCAGTGTGCTTTGAAATACTGCGGAGGAGCGGGAATGCCAGGTCTTCAGCTTCCATCACAATACCACAAAGAACTTCCTTAAACTGGTCCGTGTCAAGTAAATGGATACTGATTTCTGTGGTCATCCCAAACACTTCTCCATTTGCCAATAGAGGGATTAGATGATAGCAGGTTGGAGCTGATGCACTGATGAGGAAAAGATACAGAAAAAATACAGTTAACCAGCCAACAGTGCTTGATCAGAAGTACTACACAAATGAAAGAGGAAGAACTTGCTTTTGCAGTTGATTAACGTTTAAATAGTCCACTAGCTTGGTTCACTTCTTGCTCTTTCTTCCCATTTTAAGTTAAAAATTAAACAGGTGGCCTCTTCTTTCATTTAAAGATTTTTTTCATCCTATACATTTCAGGGGATACTGCCAGTTAAAACTTAGCATCTTTAAAGAACGATAATTCTTCTTGAGGTGTGCAAATATCAATGGCAAATACTAACAGAAATGCAGAAAAATTCAAAGTCAGAACTGCAAAGGAGTGTTTACTTATTTAAATATTTCCAAAAACATCCTGTATTACACCATTCTTACCTTATTTCATAAATATTTGCTATCCCCAAAGGTGCCTGTTTGCATCGTTTACTTAAATTGATGCAAGATGCAATGAAAGCAGAAATACCTTCTGGATTATACCCTGAGTGCTTATATGGAGGGGTACAGAACGTAATTCAATTCAGCAAATTACATAGGTTCATGTATAACCTGTTGGTTATTAGCTCTGTTAGATGTGATGAGAAGAAATGCATTCTTTTAAAGCTGACTGAAATTTTGTAGAGACATTCTCTTTACTCTCACCTGGTGATCCAGATCTGCAAAGGGTTGATAAGACTTCTAATCTCTTCCTCCTCTTTTACAATTTCAATGTGAGTTTGTAGGTTCTCCTCAGCAATGGTTAACATCTCCTCACTCAGCATTGTTGATGTGATGCCATAATAGTGCTAAGATCAAAAAGGGTGATCTCTAATCAAATGACAGCCCAAACACAAAAACCTAACACTAGAAAGGTCCGTTTTATTTTACACTTGAAGGAGGAACAAGAACGTTATATGAAAAAAAACCTAAAATATGAGTTCACAGCATTAAAAGCAGCTCATTACCTGAGCATATTGCAGAAAATCATTAACTCCTCCCAGAAGCAGGCCCTTCCCTCCACGATTCGAAAGTTCTCTCCAAATGATTGGAGACTGTTTGTGTTCCCATCCGTTCATTGCACAGATGTCACGAAGCCATTCCTATTGTAAACACCCCAAAAAGATGTTAATACTTTTTCCACATTTGATAACACTTACATGTTACAGCTATCAACATTTTTGTTATAGTATTTCCTCTCAAGACATAATTACAAGATGTTTCACAGCTCACCAACATACCAGCGTGTACAAAATGGAAGAATGACACAGACTAAGTCATGGTGATACCTCAACAGACGAGCAAAAGGTTTTACTAACTTCTGCTTGGTTTTACTGCCCTAAGTTTTCTCAGCTGTCTCGGTGGTACCAAAGAAAGTAATACTTTGAAGCAGTGAGTAATGTGAGGATTTCTAGTTAACTGTACAAGGTAAGTAGGCTGCTATTCACTTAGCATTAGAGCTCTTCAAGTTACTTGGCTGAGGTGTCAAGCAAAGTGTTAGGGCTAAAAAGCATGACAGTACTGTCTTTTCTCATGAAGTAATACTGGATTTTTTTTTCAGTTCCTTACAGGGACTACAGTGTAGATAGGGCAATATGTAAAATGGCCTTCAAGCAGAATGAGCAATTTGGCATACAGCAAAGCGCTCAGAAAGGCCCATCCACACAGTAAGTGAGAATATGAGATTTAATTTCATACTTCTATTGCAATTCAAAGCCCTTGCACTCAAAGCTAGAAATCTTCTTGTCAATTAACGACTCTGAAAGCATATACATTCACAATGCACAGAAATTACAGCAAGCAGCAGACCGAGCAGCCACTTATACATAATAAGAAAAAAAATAAACTTCTTCAGCTTTTTAACCAACAAACACAGCTTCAGCCTGGCCCTCAGTTTGTGTCCTCACGAGAATGCCGGTCTCTCACAACATTTGACCTTTCTTCAAGCTGTCTCTGGCAGCCAAAGCACCTCTACCCACATAGCAAAATGCTAATACAGAGAAAGAAGAGACATACCGCAGCTAAGAAGCGCATTCCTTACTTAGTGAAGCACTGGGATATCTACTAATGACTTGACTTATAATCCCTTACCTCCCATTTGTAAGGGTGCTTAGTGATCTTGTGAACCCTGAAGTCCGGCAAATTAGCCTGGAGATAGTCAGCCAGGAGTTCCGCTTTGGCATAGTAAGGGCAATTTGCCCTACCTGTGAACACAGCAAGAACATGAGCAAATGGAAGATTTTGTGACATTGATTGACAAGGGCTTAATAAATCAGGAGCCTTTGAATTGTTCCAACTGAAAAATCTCAATTTTTGAACTGCTCTAATTCAAAAAGAGTCTTATGTAACCAGTATGCCCTGAGTTCCCAGAAAGCGGCAGGACAAGCGTAAAGACAACTTCGTAGGCGATGCAGCCCATTCCAAAGCAGCACTTCAGCCGACTTTTAAGGGGCTGAGGAGGCCACCCCGGAGCGAAAGCAGTGGAGAGGGGGAAGAGGGGGACAAAGCCAACACCGAAACGGCTGAGGCAGGGCGGCACAGAGACACACCTCTAAAGAGAGAGAAAAAAACACTACTAACGCTAAAGCTACAAAGCCTGCAAAGACGATCGACTGCCGCCGGCAGCCGCATGGCCGCTCCCCTCCCCGGGGGCCCCGGGGG